AGGTCCCCGCCGGGCGCGCTTTGCGGGCAGGCGTCGAGCAGTCGACCAGTCGGCGCCCGTTGTGACTGTCGTGTCTATTTGTAACGCGCCATATAACGATTATGAACTCTCACTATTTCATGCATATTTTCAAGTACACGGTACGCGGCTATCCACATCTGCTCATAGAGTATAAAAGAGTTTAAATAATATGAATTATGACCGTCTATGACCATGATTAAATTATTTAACCAAATTTACCTGCTTCCGGAGGCCTGGCGGGGCGCAGCCGGCTAGCGCTGAGGAACGCCGGACGGGTTAGCGGGTAAGCATTGCCTCGGCTCTAACGCGTTAGTTGTCATTTGTACCGCTACCGCAAAGTGTCTACAGAACAAAACTGTTAACTGTGCAAATTTCCAAGCCATGCGACTGCGCGTGCACCATGCAACGATCCCGCATCCCCATGCGCAAGCCTCATAGCAACCGCTGCTACGAGAAAGGTCACCACCGTGCCACAAGCCAAGTTTTATAACAGACGTCGTTTATTGGTAGAAGAGCAATGTTGTGTGCTTATTTGGTTTTACCAGAAGTTAAATATGTACAAATCTATATATTAAGTGTAACTATATGCTTGAGTTCGAAAGGGAGCAAAACAAGAAGAATTAAGATGTTTTTATAAGAATCAGTTGTAACTACGACTATATATATTTACTATTCGGTAGTATTAAAAAGCACATTAATTTTTCCGACTGAAGTATTACAAATAATGGACTACTAGTCGACATTCATTTATGTAGTAAAGAAATTAAAAATATTTTTTTGCCTGATGAAGAAGATTCATCAATTATTTCTTATCGTATTCATTTTGTTTAATAAGAAAAGTAAGGAGACACAAATCGATACCAAGGATGGTTACTATCTGGAAGACTTCGAAAAAGCTATCGATAAGTCGCGATAAGAAAATAATTCTAAGTGATAGGCGAGTAGGGTGCGCTGCGGGAGAGGCAGCGGAGGCAGTGGGGCAGTGGGG